TAGAATTGACGTTGAGTGCTGGACCCCCTTGAATAGAGTTCAAATCTTTTATTTATTGAAATTTCTTCTGCCTAAGTTGTCCTCTTTCCTTTGCTAAAAAAATCTCCTTCATTTATTTTCTCTTGACTTATTTGGATTAGATTAGACTTTTGGTAAGCCAATATACTTTGTTTGGCACATGCAGCTTTCTTCAAATATCTCTCTTTTTATTTACAACTTCAGTTGTAGTTAGTAAAACTATCTTCTAATCCTTTCTTATACGTTGCCAAATTTCTTTGATTTACTCAACTTTAATTACTAAATTTAAGCAACTACCTCTTATAAATTTGGCAGCGATGTTTCATCTCATAATAATCTCCATTACTTCTCAAGTGGCCCATCCTTTGGCGCCATGTCAAGGTCACTTGTCACAATTTGATTTGTTTACGTCATCACTCATATGGCTACCATGTTTGGTGCCAACACATTTAGGCTTTCTTTGTTTCGATTTTATTTTTATTTTTATTTTGCTGTGATTGGTAAAGGTCTAAGTCGAGGTTAAGATCAAGTCTATCGGATAAAGCGTGTAAATTAGCTTGTCTAATATTGATGAATAAATTATTTTTTGTTATATTTTAATATATTTTTTCGAAAATTGATGAATAAATTATTTTTTGTTATATTTTAATATATATTTTTTAATTATAAATATTTTACTACAACCAAATACCAGAAAACACAAAAAATATTTTTAAAAAAATATTTTACGCTCAAACAAACGAAGCCTTAAGACGAGTCGAACGTTAGACATAGAGTTTTTATCTATCAATGAGGCATATTAATTTTATCAATTGTATCAAATTAATAAAAGAAAAATATTTTAGACTCAAACAGATGGAGGCTTAAGACGAGTTGAACGTTAGACACAGAGTTTTTATCTCTAGATGAGGCATATTAATTTTATCAACGTTATCAAATTAATAAAAGTCTCGGCCCTTGAAAAATAGGTCCAAATAACATTCTCTACAATTTTATGGGATAATTATATCTTCTTTTTTTTTTTAATTTTTAATTTTATTTTTTTTAAAGGACGTGTATCGGTTCTACAACACATGCACCATTCAAGTTAGGAGTACGATTCGAAAGCAAAACCCAAGGACTTACCTCCTAGATCCCTACTAACACAATTATAACTCTAAAGGCGGAATAATTATACTACTTACCTTCCTTATAGTTCGCCTAAGTAATAGAAACCTCTCATATAGTTTTAAATAATACACTAACCTTCTTATTTTATTTTTATATAAAATATTTATTTCTTTTTATGGAAAAAATAACATTCCCAAACTTTTAAAGGGATTTTTGAATTTTAAACAAGTATTAAATATGACCGTAGTAAATAAGAGTGTTAAAAATTTATTTATAGAAGCTATCAATGTTTTTAAGACGTCAACCAAATAAGAAAGTAGTGTACACATTTAAAACTAAATAAATGAGAAATTCTTATTATTTAAATAAATCTAAGTAGGGAGATATGTGTAATTATCAATTCTAAAGTAGTGTATAAAAATATATATATATATATATATACACTTACGAGGTTACTACTTCCACTGCCCATGGTGAAATACCACAATTCTATGACGCGTGGCAGGACAGTGGTGACGCGGAGGATAGTAAGTCTTGAGTCAGCCACAAACCAGACGTTTCACATGATAACGAGGATACCTCACGTTGGCTATAATTATTTTGGGCCAGCTGGATCAAAGAAACGAGAAAATTATTCAGTTTGTCGGGCTCGGACATACCAATAATTTAGTATTAGAAAGAAAATAAATCATTTTATGAAATTAATTTTATTTATTTTTAAAAATTATTCTCAACTAAATGTTATAATGATTTTTGAAATTAAAGTCTCTTCATGTATAACAAGGTTAGAATTGAATTTTTGAAATTAAAGAATCACAATACCCGTAAGTTTTATTGTTTGATTGACAAGGAAGTTTAGTGTTATTAATTCAAATTAGTTGTGAGGGTTCCTACTATTTAACAAATTTTAGAGGAGACAATTATAATTCTCTTTTTATATTCATTATTTTAACTTAATAAATTAAAATTTTTTCATGACTTAAATCACACAATTCTTTCTAACATAGCTTTGCACGCATACTCTTACTTTGACTATGTACAACTTAAATTATATTGTTTTTACGTTCCTGACACTCATTTTGTGTGACTTATAGTGAGGGACACTTAGTCACCTTCCTCCCAGTGTTCTACTCACAAGTGTTTTAATTTATTCTTTCATATTTTTTCTTCTCTCGCTATATCTTGTGAATTGACCCGAAGCACATTAAATTTAAAAATCATTTGTACAGAAGAGTCTATTTATTTAAAAAATAATATTTATAGAAAATATTTTAAATTAAGCATTACACTTATGTGATCTTTTAAAGTTAACATTATTTATTTCTGAATCTGCATAAAATAGTGCTTATTGAGTTGTTAGCAAGACGTAATAGGAAATGTCTTTTTATTTACAAAGACTCAAAGAGTGCGCGGTCTTCTCATAGAGCTTGGCCCGGTCAGCATTTGTTGTGGGCACGTAGCATGGGCTTTCTGTAGCCACTATTTGGTCCTTCTAAGGCCCAAGGTTGATGTGTAGCAATAAGATTGCTGATTTTAGGCCCATACTAGTTTTTTTTTTTTTTTTTTTTTTTTTTTTTTTTTTTTTTTTTTTTTTGAAGTTAAAGCAATTACACACACACCCTGCCTCCACCAAGATTCGAACCCCCGACCTCCCCTTTGGGAAGGAAGGGGTGATACCGCTGTGCCATACTAGTGCTGATTGTAAAGAGCTTTCATGGGGTATAATCCAGTGATCTAGTTGGTAAAGTACCCAACTCCTTAAACGATTGTGTCTGTATTCGAGTTTTTAAATTCTTCTCGTTACAAAATATATGATGAATTTTTATATAGAAGAGAAGCTGATAGCGTATGACAGTCTTCAATGACTTTCCCCACCTTCATGATCCATATTTAGAAGAAAAATTTAATTGTATTAGTTGTATTAGTGACTTGGTATTACCAATTGATTAAATACTATTATGTAGTGATATGACCCATTAAAATAAATCACTTTTACTTATATAATAATATACAACCGAAGTATTACAGGTCTTTCTCTATATTTGGAGGGTCTATCTTATTAACTACCATGGGTTCTTCTTGTTCTCTTGTATTTGAAGTTTGGAAGGTCGAAAACGGCCCTTTGGGCCAACCAGCCCAAAACCAAAAGATTCCTAATGGGCCTTTACATTGGAACGTTCTGAATTTACTTATATAATAATATACAACCGAAGTATTACAGGTCTTTCTCTATATTTGTAGGGTCTATCTTATTAACTATCATGGGTTCTTCTTGTTCTATTGTATTTGAAGTTTGGAAGGTCGAAATTGCCCTTTGGTCCAACCAGCCCAAAACCAAAAGATTCCTAACGGTCCTTTACATTGGAACGTTCTGAATTTAATAAAACACCATCCTGCATTTTGAAATTGTTTAGTTAAACTATTTGTTCACTTAGGTTCCTTTTGTTTTTGTTTAGATGTAAAATATTTTTTATTTATTTTTTGGTGTTTGGTTGTCATAAAATATTTATGAATAAAAAGAATATTAAAATTTAACAAAAATAATTTATTCATAAATTTTTGACAAGTTATTTTACATGCCTTGTTTGATGGACTTGACATCACCTTGACATAGACCTATGCCAAATATCGACAAAGTAAAAATAAAAAAATATTTTATCTGACAAAAAAAATTTCAAAAAGAATATTTAACGTCGACACAAACGGAGCCTTAATCAAAGTGATTTTATTTTATTTTAATTTTAATTTTATTTTTTTTATTTATTTATTTTTTTGCCTTCAAAAGATGCATTTGAATCTTTGATAGTTGTTGTTGCATTTTTATCGGGTATGATTAATTTATACAAAAATAAGAACTTTTTTAACTTGTCCACAGACTCCACACCAAGCATAGCAAATTATATATATATATATATATATATATATATATATATTCCTGATATCTTACTTCTTATGGAGTAAGAAAATTAATCCATACTTTCTATATAGAGCGTCTAACGGTCATTTTTCAAACCCACCTATGGTATTTATTTTTAACACAAAACTACTCTCACTCTATTTTTAATTTCTATATTTAATTTTACCATTATTACTTATTATAACAATATATATAAATATTCAAATGCATAGTCATAAATTGAAGAAGAAAATAAATGCATGCTAATTAAATGAATCTTTTACAATAAGGCGCGTTATCTACGCTTGTTGGGCATAAAATGCAGCCACAAATAGATTACTCCGCGTTTGGCAAACCTATTTTCCGCTGCTAATTAAAACCACCCGAACCACTCTATATGTCTTAAAGACCACAAATCTTAGCCAACCCCATTAGGTTGTGTTAGGCAACAAGATTAGAAAAAACTCTTGAATTAAATTAGTTGAAAGCAACATTAAATAAATCTTTAGGACTGCCATTTCTTCCCTTTAAGCTTTCCCAAAGCATACCAAAACTCAAGTGTGTACACAGGCTCTATATACGACTTCTACACATGTAACGTAATTGAATTTGAACCGGATCGTTTGCCATTTCTTTCCTTTAAGCATTCCCAAAGCATACCAAAACTCAAGTGTGTACACAGACTTTATATACGACTTCTACACATGTAACGGAATTGAATTTGAACCGGATCGTTTAGGCTTGTATATTCGATCTGAATCTATTACAATTGTTTTTATATTCCAAAATCCAAGTTCATAAATTCACATTCATTAATTTGTTATCAATAAGATATTTAATATACAAGGACGCAATTATCAGGTCCACCCTACCACTAAATTACCTATAATTTTTCAAAAGAAACATTTATTTTGGGACAGAGATAGTACTACTTAGCCTGTTGTTAGAGCCACCCACTAGGGGCTGATACACTCGAATCGACCTGAATTTACAGTCAATGCAACCGTCAATTATTGGGACCCCAAGGAAGCTGCCATGCAATTTCCTCTCACCGCAAAGTTCTGTTACGCAATCACTCTTCCTCAGCTGCCTGGCAACTTCATTCCTCTATCTTTATTCTCAAATTTTTTCTTCTTTGTGCAATTATATAAGTCCAGTACATTTTGTTCATTTCCTCGATACTTCCATATCTTCCCTCCCAAATCAATGGAACCACTCAAAGTTCCCAAATTATCCTTTGGTTGCTTCCTTCACAAGGGTCTCAAATTGAGCACCCTTCCTCGCCTCCGATCAAAATCCAGCTCGACTTTGAGCTCTCCTTCATCCTCCAACACCTCTCCAATTACTCCGAAAAGTACAGCCTCATGGGAAGATGAGCTGAGAGAAGTGTTTCGTCACTTTGACCGCGACAATGACGGGAAGATCTCCGCAATAGAACTCAGAGCATACTTTGGATCGGTGGGAGAGTACATGTCTCATGAAGAGGCTCAAGGGGTGATCGATGACCTTGACACCGACGGAGATAGCTCCATTGACTTTCAAGATTTTATGAGGCTGATGAAGAGAGAAGGTGGTGGCGGTTGTGGCTGTGGTGGTGGTGATCAGGATGATCTGAAGGCGGCGTTTGAGATGTTTGAATTCGAGAAAGGGTCCGGGTACATAACCCCCAAGAGCTTGCAGAGGGTGTTGAATCGTTTAGGGGACTCGAAATCGTATGATGAGTGTGTGGCTATGATTCAAGTGTTTGATACTGACGGCAATGGAGAGCTTGATTTTCATGAGTTTCGTCAGATGATGGCTTGAGTAGCAGACTAGCAGTAGTTATTTGAATTTCAAGTTGTGCATGCAAAAATCTGTTATTAATGGCGTATTTATAAATATTGAATCCAATTAAGAAAAAATGTATGGAGTCAGTGGCCATGCAGGTTTAGCTCTTTTGAGCTATATATATATATATATTGAGTTTGTAAATCAAATATGGTGGTTGTATTGTTTGATGGTTGTTAATGATCAATTTATTTGTTCTTAGGTTACATAGTTGCTCTAGTGGTAATATAAATGTTTAATTTAGAAAATTACTTTCCCCATACTAATGAGATACCCTTGTAATCTCATTCTATGAAGAAATTACTAGGTGGTTCGGAATCATGCGTGTTGTCAGAATCATATGATCTTAACTAATCAAGAGACGATCATGCTATCAAATATGTCAGTTTTATTCAATTTTTTAGTTGCACGACGTCTCCTAATTGATAGAAACCACATGTTCCGGTTCACCTATTTCTCCATCCTATGACATATTATAGTATATAGGCCTATTTGTCAAAATAAAATAATTAAGGTCATTGATAACTTGGAGGGACCCACATGAGAAGATCTGAAAGCTAAGTATTGTATATAGGAAGAGTTGTGGTAGCTACCTAGGCATAGTTACAATTGTGCAAGCTTAGTTATTGGATCGGTTGAGTTTTACCGCATAATGTACAAATTTGAGGACTGTGTTTTTACAGTCGCGACTTCACTTAACATTCCTCTTATAAGAAAATGGTAGAAAGTTCGGAGACAAAGGTCTTGATCACGGACAACAGTGGCTTTAATGTCGTAATGCAATGTGTGATAAAGATTGTTTGGCGTGATGTACAGAGCTGTACAATTTAGAGGGCCCTTGTGGGTTGTTTCAAGAGTGACTTCCTAGCTATCACTGTTCTTGTTCAAACGTTTACGTGGGAAGAGACCTTCATAGCTGGCTATAGGTACGCAGAACTCTTAAAGCTGAAACCAAAAGTCTATAGGACCCAAGTAAAAAGTAAAGGAAGCATCAATTATATAAAGCTTTAACCATAAGGCAAGTTTCATAATTTTACTGATCTTTCTTGACGTACCGTAATGGGAGGGAGACTACAAAAGCTAATGATTGAATTAAGCTGGAATTTCAGTCTCTTCTAAAGCATATATATATATATATCGCAAAGAAAATCACATATGACCTCCCCATTTGTACCTTTTTATTGATCATGATGTCACATTTGACATAAAGAAATTCAAAATGAATGGAACAAAGTTTTTAGGATGAGTTACACTGATTTTTTCTTAGATTTCGTTAATATATATTGACATTCCCATTTGTTTGTCAAATTATACTTGCCCTCTTAAAGTTTGTATACAACTAAAATATACAATAAAACACAGTCAATGACAAAAAATACAATGTTAACAATTTTGTAACATTTAAATTTTAATTCTACACTTGAAAGACGTGTTTACAAATATATATATATATATATATATATATATATATATATATATATATAGGAAACGTAATTGAAAACTCAATAAGTTTGGTAGAGAGGTGATGATTAGGAGAAATTAGTGTATATTAGCTAAACCTTAGGAAACTTCGTTGTAACTTACCTTAATTCATATAGTAGAGGGGGATTGAATTGACATTAACTCACAATAATTAAACTCTCAAAACATAGATTGATAATACTAAAAAAATTATTCACCATATAGGTAAGTCTTTATCAATCACAATGTCTCTATCAATCATTCACCAGTGTCTATATGATGTTGAAATTTAAGCAGATGTTTTAAAACAAATTAACACCATGTTTCTGATTTTTCAAAACAATTTACTCTGCTTAAAATTAATTAATAAGAATTGAACACGAACCCCACTTAAATGCATTAAAGGATTGGAAGTGATTTGACCCTAGCTTATTTTGAGTTGAAAGAGAATCGCACTATAAAAAAAAACAGAAACATTTTCCTTTTGGTTATAGGCTGCTCTTGTTAATTATGTTTGCTCAATTTCTAAGTGAAATGGTTACAACTATTGCTTCCCTGTATAACGAGGGAAGAAAGGCCATTTTACCAAACATATTAATTTACTGAAAAAGGTAGAATCCAACGGCCTGTGATGATCATCATAGTATATGATTTGCGGATCCAAAAGTTTAAATTAAAAATGATATATGATGAATAATAGATGTATCGATTGTTTCGTCTGAGAGGAGGATGATGATGTCAGGTCATGATTACGTAAATTTAGTCTGATAAATTCAATTATCAAACCGTGTAAACTATTACAAATATTCCATATATTCTATATATATATAGATTGGTGCTATTGATGTTTATTTATTTGGTTTTTGAGGGAAATAGATATTATGTATTACTGTATAAGGGACTCATCCCATGGCTAAAGAGGCCCTCTTTTGAGTTTCTCGCTCTTTATTTTATTAAATGTGATCATCATTTGGATCATGCTTCTTGGTTTATTGATTGTGAATAATAAAAGGCCATTTACCCAAAAAACAAAAAAAATAAAAATAAAAATACAAAAAATAGGCCCACAGACCCATAGGTCGGTTGTAATGTTGGACAAGACTGAATGGAATTATCACTTTTGTTAAGATATTCAAATGTTGTCCATATTATAATTGATAAGAGTATTAAAATTGAAACTTACATAATTCAAAGCACCTTTCTAATAATAGAGACGGAAGCTTATTAGTCTAATGGTACCGTTTCTCATTTCAGACGAAAGAGGTTGAGAATTTAAAGTGTAATTTTTTTGCCAAAGTAAAAATTAAAAAAAATAATAAAGAAATGAAAGATTCTTTCTAGTATCATTATATAATAATACCTACAATTTTTTGATAATTTATAAAAATAAGAGTATGTTTGGTTGTTTACCGGAAGGAATTTGAACAAATTATTTTGAACTGAAATACATAATTTTAAACTAAATTCCTTTTTCATTCATCTAACAAGTACTTTATTAGATCAAGTTTTTATATATTTATTTTGAAATTCACATAATCATGTGTTTTTATGAGGATTTACTCGGCTCTTGATTATATATATATATATATATTTTAAAATAAATTAAGATACCATTAAACAAAATCCTTAGCTGTGATGAAAATATTAAATTAAAATATTTTTCACTGACGAGCATATGACCTAAGGAATTGTTTGGGCCCAACCCTAAAATCATATAATTTTTTTAAACGATTTCGACTCTCACGCTGCTCTGCTCTTTTATTCGTGTGTTATCGACCTTGCGTTCGCTATGCATGACTTAATTTTTACGCTTTTACCCACGTGACTTAAATAATAATGCTGGTAACACACTGTCACTAGTCTTTGTTTAATCCACATTGACAATTTTGATGCTCCTCCAGACAACTTTTTATACTTGGACTTATTGCGCGAGGAAGTATCCATAAAGTAAATGCCAATACAGACGATCAGGTGTTGTCAGCGGGAGGAGCAGATTGTGATCGGGTGGTTGCAAGTGGGCCACCTGTCATCCATCACAGGTTAGATCAATCACACCCCTCGATCCCGGAAAAGGAAAACCGTTCCTTTTAATAAGGCGTCGCTGGGTGGTGGTGGTGCACCACCGTGCAGGGAGGCGTGTAATCGCGATCAGAGCATGTATGAAATACTCCTAAACATGGAAATGACACTGACCCAGATGGCCACTGTTGCTGCTCGCGCCGTATTTTCTTCAGAGGAGGAAACCCAATCATCCGGCAGCAAAGGTCGCACAGCCTTTCAATGGGGTGGAACAATCTCTGCCATGTGGGTTTAATTTTATCTCCTGCTACTATTCCTTCAAACCCTAAATTTATTCTCCGTGTTCTCATACTACGTGTCTGGTGTGTGTGTGTGTAACTTTTTACTTACATGGCCCTCTTAGGTTGACAACATTTTATTTTCTCTATTTCTGTTAACAGTTTTGGTTATCAATTTTGGGCAATTTTGTTTGTTTGGGTTTTGGATATATTAGTTTACGTTCGAGGAATTGAATTCACAACAGAACTGATATTGGGACTGGGAATTGGAGAACTGTTTTCTCTTTGTCTTTGTCAGGCTAAATTCCCAATTTTTGTTGATTTATTCTGTTTATATGAGTAAAGTATATGCATGACTTTCAATAGAATACAGGATGTATATATGCATTTAAATTCTAAATTATATCCAAGTCAGTTTCATTTCATCTATTACTATTATTAGTCCAAACCCTAAATTATTCCCTCTGTTTCCTCAGACTATTTGTCTTGTGTGTGTGTGTGTGTAACTTTTTACTTACATGACCCCTCTTAGGCTGAGAACAATTTAGTTTCTTTAATCTGGTCAAGTTTCTTTAATTCAGTTTTGGTTATTTGAATTCCTGATAGGCAATTTATAAGCAAAGTGGAAGTATTATTAAATTTGTGCAATTTTGTTTTTTCGGGTTTTGATATATTAGTTGAGTTTGAAGAATTGAATTCACAAAACTGATATTGGTACTGGATGTTGGAGAATCGTTCTCTCTTTGTTTTTGTTAGGCTAAATTCCCCAATTTTTTTTATTTTTTATTTTATTTATTCTGTTAATTAGAAGTACAGGATATGCATACCTTTCAATAGAGCACAGGATGTATGTAATGCATTTAAATTCTGTAAAGACAAAGCTTCAAGATGTGAACAATATACATTTTCATTCACTCATTAATGTAGTAGAGTTTCTATATATGTTGCAAATATGCATCTGTATATAAAAATTTAGAGGGATAGAATGATATTTGGTGTTAACCTGATGGGAGTTCAACTTTTTATAATTTTGTTAGATTCTACATATCCAAAGCATCTCGTTGTTTGTCAATTTCTTAGAGGAATGATCGATGAGTTTATTTAGGTAATTTTTTTGCTCACATCAAAATTTTTTGTTGCATATGATACTTTGAGAAAATAAGTCTACAAATAGTTCCAAAATAATGGTATACTCTACTGCTATCTTTGCAACACAAGGAGATTACAGTAGTGACATTAATATTCTGTTTGATTCCTACGAGGTTACGATGAATTTTGACTTCCTCTACTTTGGATATGTTTAGATCATATGAGATTCTTTCATGTTGGTCAATACTTCCTTTTCCATGATGTCTCAAGCTTCATTCTTCAGTTTTGTTCATGTGCTCAGCGTTCATCTCATATGCTTCATTTGTTTTCTATTAGAAGCATAAGATATCTTTATTCTTCTGTAACTGTGAATATTCAAGGTTCGTGCTCAATGTGTTGTTTTAGAGGTCCTCTTACTCGAATATTTGTTCTGTTGTGTTTTCTATTGCAGAATTTTGCTAATCTTGAACCGAACAGGAAGGAGATCGTCCATACAAACTACGCTTCTAGTCCTCTATCTTTTCACTAGTTTTCCTGCAGTGCTATTCAAGAATCTACGGTGCTTTTGAATATTCGTCAACAATTCTTGGTAGCAATCTATGTTCTGCCTGTTTATCTACTAAAACATTACATGTCCCATTTTGCAGAGGACAATTTGGTTGTTGGGTTGCCTTTATTGCTGTTGGAGCGAACCTCTTCTTTCCTGAGATTTTCCCAGGTCTGATATATAACATTTTCCCCCTGGCATGTTGCTTCATGGTTTAGTGTTATTGTTGCCATTATGTCGATATTGTGTTAGTAGTAATCATGTGTATATATATATGTGGTATATGCAGTTTCCCGTTTTCTCTTATTTGTCATCACACCTGACTGGCTGGCTGATGGGTTGCGTGATAGCATTTTTGGTGGTGTCTTTTGTCTCATAATTGGAGTATTATTTGTTATAATGGAGATACGAGGAATGGGAGGATGCAGTAACTGTGAATGTAATTCACAGTGCGTTTGTTATTGCCTTAGCATACTACTACTTTCCTTCTTTACAATATTGTATCTAGTTTTGGGTCCTTGGTAGAATAGCAGTTCCGTAGAGAAGATGTATTCTCTTTCCGATTTGTTTTATGTTCTAATTGCAGGTTCAAATATTAGAATGCTAAGTTCAATGTTCTTGTTGGTAGCTACAACTGCGTAGATTCTGCTTTCTAGAATTTTCTTGTTACATGTATAGACCGAAATATGATAGTTTATTATATGTAAATAACTGCCTTTGGTACTTTCTCCCATAACCAATTTGAAAGTAGAGAACTACATGCGCAAGAACTTTCCTCCCAAACTGGCTTTCGGTTTCTTGAGTTTCTTCTCAGCAAATGCAGGATCAGGTTAACTTGAAAGATTCTAGGCAGTGGTAAGAAACCTTATATTTTGGTGCTTACAAATGAAGGACAGAGTCCGAGAGGTTGTTGTTTGAGTGTCATACGGGGCCTAAACTGAGTTAGAGGATTTGGTCATTGAGGTTCTTCTTTGAGAGATATGGGGTAGACACTTTCATCTTTGGGCTTAATAAAACTGCATTATCGTTACAAAGTTGAGAGCGATTTGAATTGTTTGTAGAGGTGGGGGAATCATTCTTAGGTTACAGCTTTCCGAGTATGGAATTTCTTCTCAGCACTGTTTTAATTCTGTCTTGTTAGATCGATGTTGCGCTTAGTGTCTTGTTCTTAATCTCCCGAGCCCTCAAAAATGGAATAATGTTATATAAGATAGCTGATGGTAGGTGTAAAAACTTTTGTTTGATCTTTTATAGTTAATCGCATGTAGTCGAACATTGTTGGGATAAGATTTTGTCAGATTTGAGTCACCATAAGGTTTGTTGGATTGAGTTAAACGAATTGCTTTGTGCCCTGTTAACCATGACCTTAAAAGATATGTTTTCCTGGTGAAATTACGCCTCACCTGATGTTGGTGATTGCTGTTGATATTCAAAGTTCTTGCAACCTCTGGGATTGAAATTATTTCAGGGTGTGTTCGGCTGCACGAAATTGTAGTCTTGGAATTGGAATTGGAATTGGAATTGAAATTGATGGAATTTGAAAAAATTTTGGTTCAATTTTCTTGTTTTTCTTAAATTTTACCAATTCCAATTCCATGAAGTGGATCACTCCCCCAATGAATTTTTAATGTTTGATATTTTATTTTTATTTTTATTTTTTGAACTGACAAAGTCAATGATCTAACACATAAATGTGTGGCAAAACTTTTGGTGTTAATATATCATCTCGTATTCTTTTTTAAAACATCGGATAGGAAAATATAATTTATGTGTCACTTCTGTCTGTGACTATATTTGGAGAACAGCTTTATAGAAATTGATAAAAGGAATTGATAAATATTATTTTTATTTTTAAAGATTCCTAGAACATTAGAAATTGACAAATGACAAAGTTAGTTAATAAAACAATAACATAATTTCTGATTTTTATATTTGCTGAGACTAAGATCCAATTAATGACATCATTAACAACTAACCATCAACTTCTGATTTTCCTCCAGTTTTATGTGTGTCTCGAGACTCATGTCCACCATTACCTCTCATCTTGTCACATTTACTTCTTATATAGGCAATCCTAGAACTCTTACATAAATATGTTAGATATTTACAGTAGTTCAAAATTCTCTACCATTTTAGAATATTCTCTCCCATCCACAAATATATATATATATATATATATATATATATATAATATATATATATATATATATTAATATTTTAAAACATTCCAACGCTCTCCACAATCCTCCCATAAACTCCAAACAATTCCGTTCTATTCTCAAAGTTTTTTCCCATTCTACTTTCAGAGTTCTTTTTAGTGTCCCAACTACAACATCAATATTTACATATGAAGATGGTTAAAGCCTACATATGAAAGTCCATTATTCAGTGCAATTATATAAAATTAAAATAATGAAAAAAGGTAAATCAAATAATCCTCTCCATATTTATTGGTTGCTGATGACACCTCTCTCAACTGAGATCAATTCCTGATAATGGAAAAATGTAAACAGATTAGGTGGCGTTTGTTACTGTGAACTGATTTTGTTTGGGTGAAACAACACATTTCAACTTTGGAATTCAAAACGTCGTTTTGAGAGTGAAACACATGCAATACTAACTACTTCAAAAATCAATATTATTTCCCTTACTTGAAAATTAATTGTGTTGCATCGTTAAAGTAAAAGTGTTGAATTCTCAAAATTAATGGGTTTCGCATTTTTGAAGTAACGGGTGTTTCGTGTGTTTCAAAACGTGCACAACAAAGTAGAGTGAGAAAGTTCTTATATTGGGGAGTATTCCTTCCTGCTTTCGAGGTCTACCAACCTCTCACGGCTCAAGGCTATTAATTATTTTTCATTTCCTCTGCCTAGATTTACTAGGCCAGCAAAGCACAAAGGTAGATCTTGGTATAATGGTTAAGTTGCACAACTTATTCATATGGTTAGGTATATCATGGAATTAAAGTGATTTATTTAAACCTCACAATAACAAAAGCATCGTGCAATGGGTTAGGCCTTTTTCTATTCTTTTGCCTTCTTTTCCCTGCTTTTTGATCCTATGATTCATTACATGTAATTAACTTCAAGTGAGGCTCTGTTTGTTTCGACATAAAATATTTTTTTTGAAAAATATATATTTTTTTTCGCGTAAAGTATTATTTTATTTTTACTTTGTTGGTATTAGGCAAAGGTTTACGTTGAGGTTGAGGTCGAATCCATCGTGTGGGACATGTAAATTAACTTGTCAAAAATTTATAGACAAGTTATTTTTATTAAATTTTAATATTTTTTTCTTCATAAATATTTTACGATAATCAAATATTAAAAAAAAAAAAAAAAATTAAAAATGCTTTACGTCCAAACACAGCCTCTGTGTGAAATGTGCTGATAGTAAATACTGAAAAGCACATGTACGGCTAAGGGTTTGCTGACTATATAATTATTATACTAGGAGATTGGACTTTTTGTATGCCAATCTTTTGAATATGTACATTTATTTATTTGGACCCAACTTGCTTTTCATTAAGTTATCGAGTACCTGCTGAAATTGACCGAAACACAAAATAAACCATAACTTATTGAAATTGTTGCACATAGGTTGATTTGATGATTGTGAGGAGGCAGTGTTTCAGTAAGTATTGGAGTTGTTTGAAGGTACAGAATCACCTGGATATATATATATAGATACAATCTGAATCACCTGGATATGAAATCTTTAGGAACTAGACTTTTGGTAACAGATCCTTACACTAAAATGAAAAACAACAAAAAAGTATTATTTTAGGAATATGCTAAGTTTTCAGTATTTTGTGACAGAATCATCTTGAATATATATATATATATATATATATATATATATATATATAATGAATATGTATGATACAATAAAACATTGGTAGTGCGATGCAAAGACTGTAACACTGATACTTTCTCAACTTCAGAAGTGAATTCAAGTTCACTTGTCCTTAGGGCACGAGTACCACGATACACACACACAAAAACACAAAAAGGTGTTAATTTAACTGGTGCAAAACTGGATGTAAATTGTGAAGTGAAACTGTATCTGGGTACCTGATGTTTGAGTCTCTATGTGTATCCCAACTCTGGGGACGCTGGATGTTGATGAACATGTGAAAGGAAAAAGCCTATTGAAAATGAAGCTTTGTTTGAATAATAATTTCTGCTGTTTGGTTCAACTATTTACGTCAGGAAACCCAATATTTCTAAAAAAAAATTGTTAAGCTATACAGAAAGTCTTAGTGTAAAGCAACATATATATTTGATACAAAAAATATATGTTTAATATGGTCAACAATTTACATCTGATGCTGATGTTGTGGAGGTAACTAAACTAATCCTTAAAACTATAGCCATCTTCAAGCTTCTCATCTGCCTGAAATTTTTCTCGAGAAAATTCTGTAATGGATCAGTTTCTACTCAGTTTCTTCATATTCTTCAGCTTTTCAACCTCGTATCTCAATGCCCAACAAATGTATTCAGCAAACTCAGTTATGGACTGCAACAACACAGACGAAACCGGCCCTTCTCCGGCTTTTCTTTATTCATGTAATGGTAAAAAGAAGTCCTGCCCAGCTTTTCTGATCTTCAGGTCTCAATCTCCTTACAATTCAGTGACCACCATTTCAAACCTCACAAGTTCGGACCCGTTGGAGCTTGCCCACATCAACGATGTCCCGATTCTCACTCTCTTCCCTCCTGACAAAGAGGTGATTGTTCCTGTGAACTGTTCTTGTTCAGGTCAGTACTATCAAGCCAACACCTCTTATCTTATTCAGAGCCTTTATGACACTTACTTCACACTTGCAAACTACACATACCAGGGGCTGACTACTTGTGATTCGCTTATGCCTGAAAACGCTTATGGCGAATATGATTTGGTTCCTGGTTTGAAGTTGCAAGTACCGCTTAGATGTGCCTGTGCCACGAGCAATCAAATTGCGAATGGCACGAAATTTCTGCTGAGTTACTTGGTTACTTGGCATGATAGTATTCCTAAACTCAGTGAGAGATTTAATGTTAGTGCTAGAAGTGTAGCTTATGCAAATGGATTCTCTGAAGAGGATCCTATGCTTTATCCCTTCACAACTATTTTAATCCCATTGCCAACTGAACCTCTGAGCTCTCAAACTATAGTTCCTAATCCACCGGTTGTTGATCCTCCTATTTCTCCTAACCGGACTCCTAACCGGAGGAGCAGAAAGTGGAAGAAACTTTATAGTGGGATTGGAATTGGAACTGGAATTTCTTTGATGGTAATCGGTTTTATTCTACTTGTGGTATTTTTGCATCGCAAGAGAAGCATGACGAGGAAGCATGAGGAGGGGAAAAATAAATGGATACTCCCGGAAGAGCTCCTAGCTCGCATTGGCAGAGTTGATAAAGGTTTTGAAGTTTATGAATTCAAAGAGCTAGAGGCGGCTACTGAAAAATTTAGCCCCCAGAATAGGCTTAGTGATTCTGTTTATCGTGGGGTTCTTCGCGGGAAAGTTGTTGCCACTAAAATGATGAGCGTAGATGTATCTAAAGAGGTGAATATTCTTACAAAGATTAACCACTTCAATCTGATCAGCCTCTATGGTGCTTGCGAGTTTCGAGGAATTTTCTACCTCATTTATGAGTTTATGGAAATTGGTTCCTTAAAAGGTTGGCTCCACCAGAAGAGTAGCTATGGAATACAGAGTTGGAATTATAGGATTCAAATTGCTCTGGATGTTGCCAATGGTCTTCACTATCTTCATGACTTTGCTGATCCTCCTTATGTGCACAAGGACATCAACAGTGGCAATATCTTACTGAATAGAGATCTAAGGGCCAAGGTTGCAAATTTTGGGCTTGCAAGATCAGCAAAGCCAGGAGGAAATACAAATTCAACGACAGTGTTTGTTCCGGGAACAAAAGGTTACATGGCACCAGAGTATCGAGAAGCCAGAAGGGTAACACCTAAGATCGATACTTATGCGTTTGGGGTTATTCTGTTGGAGCTGATTACAGGACGAGAAGCCATTTTCAAGCACAACGGAGAAGATGAACTACTGTCAGAAGCGGTGCTGTCAATTATGGATGGAGGAAATGCAGAAGCTAAGCTTGGTTACCTCATAGATCCTCGCCTGCAAGTAAGACACCCGCTTGGTTATGTCATAGATCAAACTGAACTTGCATTGCGAATAGTAAAGCTAAGTGTAGGCTGCTTGGCACAAGAACCAGCAAGCAGGCTAAGCATGACTAAGGTAGTTTCAACCCTAATGAAGATTCAATTGGATGTGCAGAAATCAGAATACTTTTCATTGGAATATTAGTGTTGGGAGTGGTATCTTTAAGTTTCTGTTTGAAATATTTTGCATTTTATGTATAATATTAGACCTGTTAATGGATGGATTCTGATCCAATTATCTGGATATGGATTATAGGTAATCCAATCCGATAGTGATCCGATATGATTAAAATGTTATATATGTATATATATATTTATTATATTACAATATGTTATATATATTAATCATCTACTATTAAATTTAGGGAGACAATATTGGCACTCCAGTTTTCTCCAATTGCACTATATTTACGTTTTTTTCTTTTAAAAGAAATGACAAGAAGGTCCTTGAATTCATTAATACACTATCCTTTAATTTATAATGTCATAACTACCCTTTATACAACTTTAATATTTTTTTACCTTTTTACTTTATTTACTATTTTTTTTTCCTTTCTATTTGTTTTTCTAGAGGTCCTCTCAAAGAAAATAATGTATTCCATACTAATAATTTAATTTTTGACAGTCAAAAGAAATAATTTGTTCCATAATGACTTTTTTTTTTTTTTTTTAAAGGGATATTATTCAACAAAGTTAACTTTTTTCAGTTAAAAGAGATAATTATTTTATTTTTTTATGACTCATGTCAAAAGAAATAATTTTTTAGATAAAAATAATATATATATTTTTGGGTCTTATCAAAAGAGAGAATTTATTCAATTTAGATAAAAAAAATAATATAATCCTCTTCTTTTCATACCATTTTTTTTTTTTTTTTTTTTTTTTTTTTTTTTTTGGGAATGTTGACAAAAAATACAATTTATTCAATAAATATCTTTTTCTGGGTTTTTTTTTTTTTTTTTTTCATTTCAAAAGCGATAATTTTTTTAATGATTACTTTTTATTTTTTTGGTCCGGTCAAAAGAGTCAATTTATTCAACATAAATTTTTATTTCTTGATCCCGTAAAAAAAAAAAAAAAAAAAAAAATTCAATTATTCAATTTATTTTTTGTCTTGTCAAAAGAGACCTAAAATAATAAAGATTAGAGATAAGGCGAATAAATCTAAAAGGACAGTTTTGTCATTTAAAAAATAATAAACGTTAAAAAGTGGAGTGCAGATATCGCCTCCCTAAATTTATATATATTAATTATCTATCATTAGATTTATTTGGTTGCGTAATTATATTGTGTATCATCTTATCTATTAACTATTCTTTATTCCATCTAACCTTATAACTAGATATGCCAGTGGATATGATTTTAATCCGAATCCGAATCTGACCCCGTATCCGAGCCAATAAGGATATGAATTGGAACATTCGATCCCTAACCCGTTAGGGATCCAAATCCACTAATCTATTAGCTAAACAAACCAAATCCACTAATCTATTAGCTAAACAAATTGAATATGAATTTGGTCGATTTGATCCGAATCCGATCGATAGACGGCCTATATAATATCTTCTACAAATAAGCATAGAAGACTAGGCTAAGTATATAAGTTTGTCAAGACATTGATTGCTGTTGCCACTCAGAAAATAAAACTTGGATCATCAAAATTAAGGAATAAGGAGTGACAAACCAATTTAGTAGTTTACTTATGGATCCGTGAGCCAACTGTGAGAACTTCCACCACCCCTTTGTTATCTAGGAAATTCCCTCCTAATCAGTAATGAAAAAAGAGGTAAAATTAGAGCCCGAGCAAAAGGTGAATTTAAACAGTACAAAACTGGATGTAAATTTGAAGTGGAACTGTACCTGGGTGCAATGATGTTTGAGTCTCTATAACCCATGGACACTAGATGTTGAGGAACATGTGAAAGGACCTTTCAACCAATCGATACAACCCCTAGAGCGGCTTTTGCTAAAACTCGAGCAGTCTCTTGAAAGCTTGCTTCAGATATGAAACTTCAAGCATTCAGAATTGCTCCAGTACACAAGATTGAGGAACGTGTGAAAGGAAAAGTCCATTGAAAAGGAAGCTTTGATTGAATAATAATTTCTGCAGTTTGGTTCAACTATTTACATCATGAACCAATATTTCTACAATAATTGTTGGGGTTTAAAGTTTCTTTCCTTAATTCTAAACACAAAGTCTTAGTCTAAGGCAACAATTATGTTTGACATAATCCTGTAACCACTAAAAAATGCCTTAAGGAGTTTATTTTTATTAAAGAATTACTCCGTATTATTTTTTTTTGCAAATTGAATTTCGGAGTGTGTCATTGCTAGACGCTCACTTGGTCAACAATTTACATCTGATGCTGATGTTTAGGAGGTAACTAATCTATAAAACTATAGGCATCTTCAAGCTTCTCTTATGCTGGAAATTTTTTTGAAGAGAAAATTCTGTCATGGATCAGTTTCTACTCAGTTTCTTCATAACCCTCAGCCTTTCAACCTCATATCTCAACGCCCAACAAATGTATTCAGAAAACTTTGTTATGGCCTGCAATAACATTGATGAAACCGGCCCTTCTCCAGCTTTTCTTTATTCATGCAATGGTGAAAAGAAGTCCTGCCCAGCCTTTCTGATCTTCAGGTCTCAATCTCCTTACGATTCAGTGACTAACATTTCAAAGCTCACAAATTCAGATCCATTGGAGCTTGGCCTCATCAACAATATCCCGAGTCTCACTCCCTTCCCTCCCGGAAAAGAGGTGATTGTTCCTGTGAACTGTTCTTGTTCAGTTCAGTACTATCAGGCCAACACCTCTTATGTTATTCAGAGCATTCATGGCACGGTTGACACCTATTTCACAATTGCAAATAACACATACCAGGGGCTGTCTACTTGTGATTCGCTTATGCGTGAAAATGTTTATGACAAGAGTCATTTAGTTCCTGGTTCGAAATTGCAAGTACCACTCAGATTTGCCTGTCCCGCGAGCAATCAAATTGCGAATGGCACAAAATTCTGCTGACTTACTTGGTTACTTGGAAAGATAGTGTTCCTAAGGTTAGTGTGAGATTTAATGTTAGTACTAAAAGTGTAGCCCTTGCAAACGGATTCCCTGAAGAGGATCCTACTCTTTTTCCCTTTACAACCATTCTAATCCCACTGCCAACTGAACCTCTGAGGTCTCAAACTATTATTGCTAATCCACCAGTCGTGTATCCTCCTATTACTCCTACTAACCAGAGGAGCAGAAACTGGAAGAAACTTTACGTTGGGATTGGAATTGGAACCGGATTTTTTTTGATAGTTGCCTGTTTTATTCTTCCTGTGGTATTTTTGCATTGCAAGAGAAGCATAATGAGGAAGCATAAAGAGGGGAACATGAAATGGGTACTCCCAGAAGAGCTCCTAGCTCACATTGGCCATGTTGATCAAGGTTTGAAAGTTTATGACTTCGAAGAGCTAGAGGTGGCTACAGACAAATTTAGCCCCCAGAACAGGTTTAGTGATTCTGTTTACCGTGGGGTTCTTTGCGGGAAAGTTGTTGCCGCTAAATCGATAAGCATAGATGTATCCAAAGAGGTTAATATTCTTACAAAGATTAACCACTTCAGTCTAATCAGCCTCTATGGTGCTTGTGAGTATCAAGGAGTTTTCTACCTCATTTATGAGTTTATGGAAATTGGTTCCTTGAAAGACTGGCTCCACCAAAAGAGTTTACTTGGAATCATAGGATTCAAATTGCTCTGGATGTTGCCAATGGTCTTCACTATCTTCATGACTTGGCTGATCCTCCTTATGTGCACAAGGACATCAATAGTGGCAATATCTTACTCAATAGAGATCTAAGCGCAAAAATTGCAAATTTTGGGCTCGCAAGATCAGCAGAGCCAGGAGGGAATACAAATTCATCTACGATGTTTGTTCCGGGGACAAAAGGTTACATGGCACTGGAGTATTTAGAAGCCAGGAGGGTAACACCTAAGATCGATACTTATGCCTTTGGGGTTGTTCTGTTGGAGCTGATTACAGGACGAGAAGCCATTTTCAAGGAGGACGGAGAAGATGTACTCCCGTCAGAAGCAGTATTATCAATTATGGATGGAGGAAATGGAGAAGCTGAGCTTGGTTACCTCGTAGATCCTTGCCTACAAGTAAGGCACCCGCTTGGTTATGTCATAGATCAAGCTGAACTTGCACTGTGAATAGTAAAATTAAGTGTAGGTTGCTTGGCAAAAGAACCAGCAAGCAGGCTAAGCATGACTAAGGTAGTTTCAACCCTAATGAAGATTCAATTGGATGTGCATAAATCAGAATCATTGTTGTAATACACCTAATTTTAAAAGGATAGTCTCGGTATTTATTTATTTGTTTGAATTGTATTGTTAATTATTTAATTGATTATTTGACTAATTACTTATGTGTTTAATTGAATTAGGTATTTTTTGATTATTTGATTACGTGTCTATGTATTATTTGTATTTGTCTATGTATTAATTGTTTAATTAGATTATGTACTTAAATGGTGTTTTGATTAATTGTAAATTAAATATTTTCTTTTCTTTTATTATTTTATTTTATTTTTCTTTTATGGTTATGGTTAGTAGTAATGGGTCAACCAATTGGGTCCCATGGACTACTTGGATAGGAGGTTGGATGTGTGTGGATTATTACCCATGGATAGTTGTGTATGTATATATATAGATATATATTATATACATATATAAAAAGAAAAGTAATTTATTAATTACTTTTATGGTAACTTGGGTAGTAATATTTAATCTGATGTATATATTTTATATTTAAATAATAAAAATATACATAGATTTGATACGTATTATGTTTTAAGTTACTTTATAATATTATGTTAACTTAAGTATTATTGGATAATCCATTAATAAATAATGGAATGTGTATAATTTATTTATTTAATAAACGTATACATAAATTATATACGTAACATATTTTACTTACCTTTTTAATATATATAAAAGGGAAAGTAATTTATTAATTACTTTTATGGTAACTTGAGTAGTAATATTTAATCTTATGTATATGTTTTATATTTAAATAATAAAAATATACATAGATTTGATACGTGTTATGTTTTAAGTTACTTTCTAATATTATGGTAACTTAAGTATTATTGGATAATCGATTAATAAATAATGGGATGTGTATAATTTATTTATTTAATAAAGATATATATAAATTATATACGTAACATATTTTACTTACCTTTTTAATATTTTAATATATATTTTATTTAAGTTGACTTGGATTGGGAAAAAGGGTTAGGGTTATTTTATTTAACCTATAAATATATAACTATAGGTTGTAAAAAGGGGTTAGAAATATTCACGTGATATATTTTAGAGAGAGAGAGTTAAAGAGGGAAGGAGGAAAATGAAGGAAGAAGGAAAAAAACTCTGTAGAGAGAAGATCAAGGAAGAAGAAATTAAACTTTCGATCCGAAAGTTTAAGACAAGTTCTTTCTCTATCTCTTTCCATTTGATTCGTGTTTCTATGCATGCCTAGGAAATTCCAGGATTTAAACACATAAAATTAAATAATTATACATGTTTAATTGGATTAGAACATAGGTTTTATGAAATTAGTTCATATCTGTTATTATGTTATGAATTGATAAATGCATGATTTTGATTTAATTTCCGGTGTGAATTTTTATATGTTTACATTATGTATTTTTTCATATCTGTGGAATGATGGAACGTAAAAACATACCTAGGATCCTGAACATTAAATAGGAATTAGGTTTGGGTTTAAATAAATTTAAATAGACTCAATCATAATGATGCTTGCTATTTGAATGTTTTAAACAAACGAATGAATTTAATCTTTTAATATGTTTTAGCAATTGAGATTAAATGTGTAGGATGAATTGGATATGGAGAATGCTTATTTGACGGTATAATAAAATATCATCATATGTATAAAATTCAGTTTATGTAAGACATATGATATAGGAAGCTTAAATAAATAATAAGTCATTCCTATTTTGTGATAACTTGATATCATATTATCATAGTTATTTCTGAATTGTTTGATGTATTTCCTTAATCGTTATATTAATTGTTGGATTGTGTGGTTTAATGCACTAGTATGGGACGGTGGAATTCTAGGGACGGATTAACTTATCAATTAAGTCCTACCTATTTTATATAAGGGAATGGATTAACTAAAATGTTAAGTCCTACTTATATTCAAGTTAGGTCAGCTGAACAAGTTGAATGACTTATGGAGGATTAATTTATACTGAATAGGATAGTTACTAGATTATATATATATAAGTATGGTGCCATGATATGAGCTTGAGTCTCAGGATCAGTGGTTAGGGTGCGTATATCGCCAGGGATGTGTAGCTAGATATAGTGTAGTTGTGTACCCTGGTAGGTCTAAGTACTCATGCCCACTATATGTGCATTTTGCATGTTGCCTACTATTCAGGTTGAGACAACCCTATAGTCTAGTAAGGTTCCTTTAATGTGTGTGTATATATATACGGACTACTAGTTACTGTTAGATTGACTAGGATGTATACGTGTATCGAATCTATACTTGGACTGTAGTAGAGTAGAATTTATTTGTGGGCCTGACCCACCATTATTTTTCAGGTATTCGTCAGGAGTAGATGTTGTTCGTGCAGAGCGGGGATCAGTCGACTTCATTCTTCCGATGCCACATAGGAGTTCCTTTATGATTCAGTTTCCTGATTTAGACAGTTATTGCTGTCATTTGTTTTGTTTGGATTTTCTAAGGGTCCACACAGTATGGACTCACGAGTTGTATTTTGGAGGATCAGTTGTATCAGAAGAGTTTATTAATTAATGGAAATATATTTTGAGGTTTATTATTAGATTATCATTTTAGTTTCTTGTCAGCATTTTATTTATTCTTTTTTATTCTTTTGTACTCTGTGTTCGTTTATTATCAATTTGTTTTGATATCCTCAAGTATTCGGGCGTGGGCTTGGCCAACCCACATTCAGAAATTCGGAGGTATCACAATTGTCTTCGGAGTATTAGTGTTGGATGTATGTTTAAGATAACGGTAAGCACTGGGCTAGCCTTTTTTTTTTTTTAAGTGGTATCATCAAGTATCTGTTTGAAATATTTTGCATTTATTGTATAGTATCTTGTATAAAGAAACATAGAAGACTAGGCTGTGTATATCAGTTTGTCAAGACATTGATTGCTGTTGCCACTCAGAAAATAAAACTTGTATCATCAAAATTAATGAATATGTAAATCTGTTTATGGCATTACATTTAGTTACCATGGTTTTTTGCAAGGATATCTAGACCCTTTTTTGATCTATTTTGGAAACAAAAAAAAAATTTGTTACATGAAACAATATAAAACAGGACCAATTTAGACACAATCAGAATCCATTTCTACATAGAACTGAGAATCAGAATCCACCGATGCTTGGATTTACTTTCCCTTACAGGAAATGGTAAGAGAGAGAATTCGCAAATGTAACACCAATATTTCTGGAATGTAATTCTTTTTTATTTCTGCTGAGATCTTTGTGAAGAATCACATTAGTTTAATACAAGAACCCAAGTTTGGACGGCAAGAAGTCAATTTATATACGAAGTCAGCAAGCTGAAAGTGTAAGCTACTAAGATATACTATTCACTCATATATTGCAGCATCATTTCATGGTATCCCCTAATGTTTGACCCAATGGAGGGTAGTCTAGAAAGAAAATGTGAGATATGCTATAGGCTGGCTTGTTGGGAACATTCAAGCCCATTGTTTAAAATTTCTGTGTCAATCTTAACCTGATTCCGGATCCAGCATCTTTCTAATGTCAATGATAAGCAGTCCCAAATTAAAGGGGTGGCACTTTAAAAATCAGACGACCGCGTACCAGATCAGAATTACAAGAATTTAAAAACATAGACTGTAGACATGTTCAATTTGGATGAGGTGTAGTGAAACAGATCTTCATGGTGGAGGTTTGAACTTTGCAGGCATATATAGTCTTTGAAGGTTGGCGTGCGATTAAGGGTATTTATGATTAATGGCCAGTATATACTTCCAAAAGATAAATAAAAAACAAATAACTAAATTTGATTGCTTGCCAAAACTAACAAACTTGAATGATTATATTCAGTTCCACTCAACATAATCAAAGAACCAAGATAAAACAATACATAACATACTCATGTTACAAGAGACATAAGCGTAAGTTATCACCACTATAGTAACACCATGGTACTACCAAAATTTATTCACTTTCTGTGGTGGTAAAGCTACTGGAATAAATGTTATAAACTCTAGTGAGATCAGAAGAACTTACAGTGTACACGTGACCAGGCACTGCAAGTGGAAGACCGTCATTTATATCCTCAGTTCTCTCTTCCACAATAGCCGCCTCTCTTAGCCTGCCTGCCTTCCAAAGACTCTTCACAAGTAATTGTTTTGTGGAAGCATCAACCATCAAATTGGAGTTCGCCATATCTTCGAAAACTCTCAATGCTAAAACGGCTCTATCACACTTGCAGTATGCATGAATAAGAATCTTAAACATATAAGCATCAGGTTCCACACCAGTCTGCCTAACCATCCCAAAGAGTCTCTGAACCATTTTAATATCTCCCTGAATTGCAAAGTTATGCATCAATCCTGAAAATGTTTGGATATCTGGAAGAATCCCACACAAAATCATCTCGTCAAGTACATCCAAGGCCTCCGAATTCATCTTACACTTGGCTAGTGTTCGTAAGAGAGATGAATATAAAAGAAACAGACTATTTTTTGATATGGGACCGCAGAGTGATTTGACATCACGGAAGACCTTTAGAGCGGTGTCACCATTGCTGGAAAGACCATAGAAGTCAATAATCAATCTGATTGTGCTGCACGACAATCTAATCCCCTCGCTTTTAATCTTAGACATTAGTTTATTGACTAGATCAACACGCCCATGGCGTGCTAACTTGGCAATCGTTCTTGATACTGTGTAAACATCATGAGTGAAACCTGGCTGATAAGCAACCCAACAGAAAAACTGCCACACTGTTTCAGCTGAATTGAAATTCCTTATCATCTTGCAGACCAACCGAGTTGTCCATACAAATTTTGCATCCTCCAGTGCTGACACCTCTTCAGGCCTCCAATCCTGCAACGCACTAACCAAAGCAGCAGGATCCAACCACGGTTTTAACTGAACAGCATCCACATAAACATCATCTACAGCGTGGTCAGTACCTTCATCATCATCCTCATCATCATCATCCATAGAAAGGCCTACATTCTTAATCCTTTCATCTGGTAACATTTCTTTGATAACTTCATCAGTCTCCTCAACAAACCCTGCCTCCTGCATGTGTTGCAACGCCGATCGCATAGCTCGGCCAGGTAATATTCCATCAATCTGCATTTCATTAAGTAAAGTCTTAACCACATCAAACCGCTCAGTAGCAGTTAATGCTTCCACCAAAAGCGAAAACTGTCTAAGAGTGCGCTTGATCCTCATCAAGGGCAGTGTACCAAAAACCTCCAATGCTGAATCCAATTTTCCCAAATTCACAAGGTGCTCAATCATAATTGTGTATGTTCTAGAATTAGGAAGCGCCCCTTCATCAATCATCCTATAAAAAATATTTACAGCTTCCGAATTCTTTCCCATTTGTGCATAGATCATCATAACAATGTTATAAGACTCGGTACATGGACGCCTCTGCAAGGCTCTCCACTCATCCCATGCCTGAAGAACCGCGTCAAAGTCTCCAGCAGTAGCATACCAGCGCATCCGGTCCATAAAGCTAGTGCGTGCAACATTTGTGAACTTGCCAGAGTTGATTCCATTAATTAGGGCTTTGAGTTTGGCAGTTTGTTTAGACTTGGCTAGGATTTTGGCCAGAGTGTAAAGGGTATTTTGATTATGCGAGAAATGTGGAACAGTTTTCAGTGTATCAACAAGGGAGAGAGCAGACTCATGGGAGGGAGCAGATCGGAGTGCATTGGTGACTACAAAGGAGTCTAGGGTGGGATCATTTAAAAGAGGGATGAGTGACCTTTGAGAGTTGGACCGTATACAAAGTCGAATTGAATCTATGAGCCTTGCTCGCTTAAGGTAAAGGGAAACTTTATTAATGTATGAATTACTGGTGAAGAAACGAGTTGGCAGGGCTAGGCAGCTATACAAGTGTCTTGTATAGAAGAATCCTCTGAGGTACATAGGCACCTTTTGCAGGCCGTATGGCTTATACAATGTTTAGAAAATTGAACACCGCTGCTTCTCCAGTGACCAATAATTATGGACACCGCATACTATTACTGTAACAGAACTAAGCAGGTAATAATATCCGTTTCTCCCTTTTCAGTCAAAACCTCCTAATCAAACATAAATCTTCTAACGCTAACTTCAAAGTTTCAAACTATGAAGAAAAACCTGAAGGCATCACGAACACAAAATTTATTATTTTCAATAAACATTGAAAAATTTAATTTTTTCAAATTCACTATGTATGTTGGCATAGATATTCAGTCACTGAATTATACTGAGCACATAGAAGTGCAATTAACTGTTGTTAATAATAAAAGAAGTCTTTTTTTTAGAATGTATAAATTCAAAGATAATTTGAGCAATAAATGCAAGGTTAACAACAATTAAAAAGATCCTGAATATACTTGCAAACAAAGTAAGGAACAAAATAAAAGGTATTTAATTAATCAACCAGTCGCAAAAAAAATAATAATAATAAATAAATAAAATCAAGGCAAACACAAAAATGGATCCAAACCCACAAACTGTAGCCAAAGCATGATAAATCACCATACTCATGAGCTTACAATGCGCTAACAACTAACAATATATATACATATATATATTTACATATGTGCATCCACATATAGTGTGTGTTTATATATATCTGTGTATAAATATAACACAAAATGAAAAGATTGAATTCATGAAGGACCCTTTTCATACATGTGTATTAAGTGTTCATGAATTCAAACCTATGGACTACCAACAGGCCGTGGTCTAGTGGTAAAAGGCTCCTACTTCCCAAAGGGAGGTCAGGGTTCGAACCTCAGTGGAGGCAGTGTGTGTGAGTCCCAACTAGGAAAAAAAAAACAAAAAACAAAACCTATGAATTCACTCAAAACATTGTAAAACAAGAGCATAATTCACCCGACAAGCGACATTACAGAGAACCCAATAGTGGTAGTAATCATTAAACAAGGAGAGAAGCAGATATCATAAAGCCAAAGGAATGTTTCATGCAAATTTAATTTTGGTAGCCTATATTGATAGAACATAAAGTTAAATACACATTTAGCCTTAGTAAACAAAATATCAAATACCTGGTGTGCATTATGGGGCTATCACTCGCAAAGTGAATAATAAACCTATATCACCAAAGCAAGTACAAGCACATGTACTTTTCAGATAATCCAAGAAGAAGACAGACAGTTGGATTCATGGGTTTGATTTCGGATATTCCTCAATTGCCGCTAAAGATCATAGGAAGAAGATAGTCGGTTTTTTCGGTTGAAATTTTGGGATAGAGCAATATGATTTAACTCGTTGGAATGGGACCATATTGGAAAGGGAAATTACTCGTATATTTGGGTTGGGCTTCAAATAATTGCCTGGGCCAAGAAAACTGTTTGGGCTTAAGACCAGCCCAACTCTTCATAGACCTGGGTGATTTAGAGGCTTGTTTGGGGTTTAAAGAACAGTAGTCTTGCGATTTGGGGGTGGGACTCACTGTTGCTCTATTCAGGGACTTTATGTGAATAAAATTAATATTGGATAATGATTGTCGACTATTTATACTAACCAATTATGACGAACGATTAGGAAGATGGCCATTTACAACTTAAGTATTTTTTTTTTTTTTAACAATAATACTTTCAAAGTTTGGTAAAATGAATAAAGACACCCAATTATGATAAAATATATATTTACCTTTTGACTTTTGAATTGACCTGTGTGAATTATTAAAATACCTTTATAACATCATATTAATTGACAAAAATGGCCCTCAAGAATCAAAAAAATAAATATGATTTTATTGTGACATTTTTTCTTTTCTGTGTTTTTGTGAAAGAAAAATGTGACATGTGTAAATAATGTTTCAGTAAATACTAAGAACTAAAAAGATTAACTTTTGTGTGATTACTTGAAGGTGATATTAAATATTTGAATATTAAAAATGGTCTTTTAATATTTAATATATTACTATCATATTTCTTACTTTTTGAGATAGAAAGTCAAAGTCAGAGTTTTGCAGTAGAATTTTGTTTAAGCATTAGAGAATATAACTAATCCATTTATTTCAGTAATGTACAAAAAAAATTCTTACAATGATTTTATATTATTTTAAAATTTTAATTTTACATTACTAGTTTGGCCCCCCAATTAAAAATTCCTAGCCCCTCCCCTATTATATGCATATGGCGTTAGTAGCTACAGTGGTGGAGGGGGTCCAAGTTTGTAAATTTGGGGGTAAAAGGATTACACTCTCCCTAAGTTTTATTTTACTTATCTTTATTACAAACGTGGAGTGTGAGTGCAAATTATCCTTAATCCTTGCTTTTAAAAGGGAGTTGATATTGGCGCTCTATAAATATATTCTGTTAGTATCTATGTTAACTATAAAAAAAATTTATCTCTATTTTATCTGCGTTGTGATTTTTTCGCTCTTTGTTTGTTTAAATTTTGTTTATTTAAATTTTTTTTTTCCGAATCAAATAGAAAAGATATTAAGTTGTCGGCTCACACTATAGAAGAATCAGAAAAAAATAAAGATATGATTTGCCAAAAAACTAGACTAAAAAGATTCCATATTTCATGTGTATGTGGTCACTGTGTGTGTGATGTACAAAAATAAATCATAGACACACCCCAAAAAAGTATAAATCATTTAATGTAAACGAGCATAATTTTAGAGAATCAAATAAAAAATTCATAAAAAAAAACATAAGAGTAAATTTGGAGTGAATGCAGAAGTGGAGTTGGAGGAATTGCTCTGCTGAAAGAAAAAAAGGGCCTTTGGTGGCTCCCGTCTCCACCATTGTTGTTTCTTCAATCTTTTTGTTTTTTGTACTAAAAATCTTGTGGGTATTGGACATAGAAAGAAATTATTATTAGAAAATAAATGGCAATTTTCAAATTAATTTTTTTTAAAAAAAATTCTTCTTCTTTAGCAGCAAGCCTGCACCTCATTTTCTTTTCCATTTGATTCAATACAGTACTTTTTAACATTAAGATGACGTTAAGGTTTAAAGAGAGTTTTCAATAAATAATAGGAAAAAAATAACAAACAAACTTAGTAAACAAAACACAAGACAATAAAAAGAGACGTAGAACTTTCGTGGTTGATGTTAAATATTGAGAGGGTAGTTTGGTAATTGTATTTACTAAAATGAGTAAGTGGAACTTAAGAGTATATTAGAGTATATTTGTGGAGCGTCAATATCGGCTCCCTTTTTAAAATATATTTTGATCCATAATTTATAGTAAACATTCAATAATTTTTGTTATTAGTAGGGAGAATTATTTTTCATTTATTTTTAAATCTTGGCAAGAAACTCAAGTACGCACTTTGTCTCTAGGGATTTGAATTATTCACCTTTTATTTTGAAAGATGTGAAGTACCAATACATTACAACTCTTAGTTGGTATAGTTAGATTGTAACATAAAATTGGATGCTCAATAATTAATAGTCCATTTAATGAGCTCACTAAAATCAATTTTTTTTGAAGTATAACCAAATATTTTGATTTAACTTGAGTAAAGATTGTTCAAAGTAATTAAAAATTATATATTTTCAAATTAAACTTTTTTAATATTTTCAAATTAAACTTCAACTTTTTAAAGTTGACTTTATTCCCAACTATTTGATGGGTGGTGTTATATTTAATTAAAAAGGATTCATATCATTTCTAAGTTCTTTGTTTACAGAGTCATGCATGCTAAAGTAGCCTAACAAACTTGAAATAGTTGAAGGATTTAATTGAAACAAATTAAGGGTAAATTGCATGGACACCTCCTGATGTTAGTCACATTGACAATTATATACAAGGTGGGTCTTTTTTTGAATAATGACACTTCAGAAATTGAATACAAACAATCATTTAAAAGATGTGAAAAATCAATATTGTCTTTCAATATTTTTTTAATTTAAATTGTAAAATATCATAACTATTAAATGACATTTCTGCCCTTAATATACCATCATTACAGCCCCACACACTCTCTTTAACCTCAAATTTTCCATCATAAACCCTAACCCTACTCTCTTTTGATTTTCTCTCTCTAACAGTCAACTTCTCTCCATTGGGATATATATTCAAAACTCAAACAACATACCATATCCATACACCACCACCATCCCCACAATAGAAAAACAACAACCATGGCTTCTTTAACCCTAACAAACCCACCACCAAACTTACAGCCTTTTCCTTAAACACACCACCAAATCCTTAGCCTTCTCCGCCTCTAAATCCCTTACCGCCGTTGCTGCCATAACCACCAAATAAGGCGTCGTCTTGAACTCTCTGATCTGACAGCAACGTTAATGTCGTTGCTGAAGACAGAGATGAGACCCATCCCTGTGATTTTCGGATCCTTCTCGAGCTTGGACCGAAGGTTGTGATCAGTGGCAGAGCCAGAAATTTAGTTCAGTGGGGGCAACCATTAACATTAATATGATAAGAAATTTTGAACCAAAATAATAATAGTAAAGGAGTATTCTTTTATGAATTTAATTTTTAAAAATTTTGCTGACTTGCTGGAGGATAAAGGACATGGGTGATGGGTCTTTTTTTTAAATTTAAAAATATTGTTAGGTAAAAAAGGTAGAAAATGAGGGGCCTTTTTAAATTCCAAAACTTTTTCTTAAAGTTTTTGTGAATTTTTTAGGAGTTCAATCAAGGCACTTCTATAATTATCACAATTTATGCATAGAAAATACAAATAATAGAAAATTCAATAACAAAGGAGGGGTCATTTTTGAAATTCGATTCTTCAAAAAATTAGTGGGACTTATTGGAGAAAAAAAAGACATGGGTCTTTTCTAAGGGTGGCAATTCGTGTTCGTGTCGTATCGATGTAAGAGTATTATACTAAATAGGCAAACCTAAATCCAACCCATTTAATAATCGTGTCAAGAATCCTCAATACTAACCCAACCAGTTTATTAAACAGGTAAACGTGTTAACCTATTTAATTACTTGTTTATTAAAATGAGACATTTAATATTTAATCAAATATTAAATAATAGAAAAAAATTGCCATAATTAACCCAAATATTCAAAATAAAAAGAAAAATCATAAGGCATAGATAAGGTTTATGTTGAAATGACTTAACTATCTATGGTAATTGGGTTTAAACAGGTAACATATTACATATGTCATATTCACGATTATAATATATTGAGTTAAATGAGTCATAAACGGATTACACGGGTTGAACCCCTCAACCCTAACTCGACACGGTTAAGTAAACGAGTTAATCGTGTTGACTCTTTTATGATCCAAACCCGTCTATGTCAAACCTAAACCCTTTTAACTCTTGTCGTGTCATAATTTGCCACCCTTAATCTTTTTCTGAATTTTAATGAGTGCTGAAAAGTATGCATTTTAACCCCTTAAGCGAGGGTATTTGAGTCCATTCATCTATCTTTATTTACCCGTTTTAGTACTTATTTGTGTTTTTGTCTATTTTAGGTAATAATGTTAAAACGAGATAAAAATAGTTTCTTAAGGCCTTTTTGGAGTCAAACTAAGTCTTAGTGAGAATTTGGAGCAAAAGGAGGCTGATGCTGAAAAACTACTAAGTTGGATAGATCTGAGAAAAGTCTGATCGATCTGAGAAAAGTTGGATCGATTGAACCAACTCTGATCGATCTGAGAAAAAGTCTGATCGATCGAAAATGTGCTGGCAGCGAGCTGTCTTATTCCCGCGCGCCTAAATTCTACTTACCAAAAAGTTGCGGGATTAGATATTTTTGGGGCTATATTTCTGACTTAGTGACAAAGAAAAGGACTTTCTATATAAAGGGAATTGAACCATTTTGTAAAGGAGCTTTTTCATTTTATTTTTACATTGTAATTTTACTTTCTCTTTCTAGAAAAGTTAGAGATTAGGGTTAGAAGAAAAGAGGGAAGTGGAGGCACATCTCAAGATCCATCTTTAGATCCACACACACACTCTCTCTAGAGTTTCAAAGAAGAAGAAGAATAAGATAGAGCCATGTTTGGAGCTTACCCTTGAGGGTTTCATGACCACATCCACCTCCTCCATGATTGGCTAGATCTACACTTAGGACTTGGATGAGCCCTAAGTCTTGTGTAATCTAAACCCTTGTATTTTTATTTTTGGGAATTTATATATATTGTTATGATTAGTGTTCTAGCCTTGTGAATTTAATGAAACTTGGTATATTTCTATGATTTCTATGGTTTAATTCTTCCTATTAATTCTCTAGTTTATTTACATGTCTATGTGTGATTAAATTGGGAATTATGTCTCACATGATTCATATGGTTTAATTCTTTCTATTGATTCTCTTTGTGATTACATGTTATCTTATATGTGATTATTTGGGAATTGATCTCTACACTAGTTTTTCTATAT